TCAGCGTCGAAAACGAGCAAGGGGAGAAAATACTCGATCGCGGTCGAAACTTCCCCGGTTGCGCGCGGGTGGCGCGGCCGGCTCTCCCGGCGACTGGTTCTTCTTCTCTGGCGAGCACTGGCGGCAAGGGTTTCTTTGGTCAGGTGTGGGTGGGGGTATTTATACCCTTCGCCTTTTAATCTTGACCGTCCATTAAGATTGAATCTGGACCGTTTGATCGCGATTTTATTGGAATTAAATCTGGACCGTTCATCGCGATGCAATCTGGGCCGTTCGTGCGCGTGAATCTGAACCGTCCGTGCGTGTGAATCTGGGCCGTCCATGTGCACGTTTGATCTGAGCCGTCCGTGCGCACGGGAACGGATCTGGGTCGTCCGATCGCACGCACGCGGATTGCCCCCGTGGCCCGTCCCCTGGCCAGCGTGTTCTTGCCACGCGGCGCGTCCTAGTTGGCCGGGGCTGCTGACCGAGCCGCTGACGTGGTGCTGACGTGGCACAATTTTTCTAAATTACGTTTTGACTTCCGGTTTCCGATTTTCTTTTCAAAAATATCCCCAGAATCTAAATTTTCACCAATTTTTCTCAAAATCAATTTCAATTAAATCCAAATAATATTTTTACCCAATTTTATCATTATTATTATTTTTATTTTTACTAAATTAAATTAAATTAAATTAAATAAATCAATTAAAATTTTAATAATTACAAAATAAACTAAATAAAATAAATTAAAAATTAATAATAATAATAAAATTAATGGGTTAATTGCTAAATTAGTGGGATTGTGGTTGCAGTTTGTATATAAATTTATTGGCCGAGAATAATCAAATTGCATAAGTTCTTCAACATTCTTGTTTTTTTGCCTATAACCTATTTGATAAAAATTCTTAGTGAATTTTCTGATTTGCCTCTCTTAATTTTGTGGTTAAGAAAAGAAGTTCATTTTTTATTCATCATCAGACTTTAAGGTTAACAAGAAGAGGCTGAGGAGAGGGATGAAAGGCTGTTAGGATTTTTTTTTTGGGTGTTCTTTTTTAAATTAAAGCTGATCATTATTAATCATTTGAGGCTGTTAGGATTATTTAATTATATTTTCTTCTCTTACATAAAAAAAATCATTTACCCAAATAACTTAAACATTTTCCCTTCAAAATTTTAACTCTATCAGTTTTAAAATTTTTTTTCGTTGCAAAAATTTAAAAATTTAGGTACTAATTTATAATAAAAAATATTTAAAATTAGAATCTAATATTAACTATATTTCAAGGACTAAATTAAATATTTAATTTTAAAAATATATTTAAAAACAATAGTAGATGAATTGTTGTTGATAAAAAATTTAATTAAATACATTTATTAGAATTTTATAACCCATATTCCTAAATAATATTAAATTACAAATATTTAAAAAATTGATTAAATTAAAGAAAATAAAAACCTAAACATTAAAATACGGAGTGCTATAATTTAGCTTCTCAAAATCACATTAAAAATCTAATGAACAATTAGAAATCTAACGAACACCATTCTTTTCCTGTTAACAAATTAAAAAATCAGGGTTTTCTTCTGCTTTACGGAGGCAAAACAATAAATTGCAGGGGTAGTCAGTAAGTCTTACTAATCGAAAGACTTTCTCTCGCTGAATTAGTTAATGGAGAGGTTGAAATCTTCGGTTCCTGACAATCTTAAAAGCGCCGTGGCAAATGGCACCCTTGATAATCTTCTTGAAACATCTTCTTCTATTCTCGACTTGTTTCTTAATTTACAGCAATTTCACGAAGTACGTACATCTCCTTTTTCTAATTTCTCTTAGCTTGATTGAAGGGAGCAATTAATCTTTTTTAATCGTACTTCTCCTTCTGTTTCACTATTTAGATGGTTAGGGAGTTAGTTGACCTGAAGGCATCTCGTTTTGGCAAGAGTAATTATACTGCTTTAGAGTTGAAACAAAGAGGAAATGAATATTATTTGAGTGGAGATCACCAGAAAGCCTTAAGTTGCTACTCCCAGGTCATCAATATACTCACACTCATTTCGTCTCCATTGTCTGGTTTTTTTACTTCTATCCTGAATTCTAAGTTAGTTGTTGTTGGTCCATCTTTTCTCCTTACAAGCAACAGGCATTACGTGTTGCGCCAGTTGGTGCTGATGACAAGGGGAAAAATCTTGTAGCAACAATTTATGTGAATCGAGCTGCTGTTTTGCATGTGAGTATCGGACAACTTTTCTTCTGTCTGTATCGTACTTTAATTTGATTCTTGGTTTGATATTGTCTCGGAGATCCACCTGCTGTGTTTGTATATGCATGGGTGTGTAGCTCCTGTTTAACAGTTAGGTGAGACTGTCACAAGATTAGCCTTTCCTTATGGTCTTCTGAGTAACCCACAAGTCATTCCACTTGCTTACAAAGCCGAAATTGACATAAATAGAGAGAATGTTTTACCAAAATACATTTAATACTTTTAAAACCGGAAAATCTTTTGTGTCGTTAATATCACTGATCCATCGATTGCTACTAAAAGGATACGATTAGCTGGAAATTTTGGTGGAGTTGGCTTATCAAATATTCTAAGAGGCAGTTGACAAGTCTTTAAAAAGTTATGGTTAGTTGATGTTGGGAAACTATCTTGTAGTCATATTGGAGAAGCATGGTCACAAAGGTGTGCAGATTCTTGTAGTAGTGGTTGATTTCTAAAGTTGTCCGGGGAAACTGAGAGAAATGATGAAAGTTCTTTAGTGCTGAATTAATGATAATGGGCTTATTTTCAGTTTTTATAAATTAAAACTTAGGAAAGAAATTGTTGTCCCAGTGGAATAAGGAGAGAAAAGAAAAGCAGCATCCTGCTTGTAACATTCCAACTAGAATTAAGAAATCTGTAATTTCTGCTTCTCCAAAATTTTAGGTTTTGTTTGTATCACATAAGCAGCATGTGGTTTCATTCAAGTTACACGATTGGAAATAGCAAAATAGTTTATTCTTATGTTTGCTGATAAAAGGAGAGGTAAAGCAATACCAAAAAAGGTTGAATCAAGGAACAAAAATTTTTCCTTCAGAAGCACGAGACTGTTTTGTTCGACAGGAAAAGCATAAACTTGAATTTGCGAAATATCAAAAATGTCTTTCATCCTTTCTCCACTTTTTGCTCTTTATAACCATTCCACAAAATATATACATATTTCTTCTTTGAATAATCATTTGTTTTACTTTGATAATTATTATAATTAAATTATTTTATAGTTTATCAATTTATTAAATTTAAGTTATTTGAAATGATTTGTTAATTTTGGTAATTAAGAAATTCATTAATTTAATTTATTGGATTATACATATTTCTATTAAAATATTAATTAAAGTATTTTTTTTGAAATATTTATCGAAGTAAATTTTATAAATAACTATGTATTTTTGTGCTCTTAAAAATGTCATCTGCAAAAAAGAGAAAAGAACAAACATTCAACACCATAGACATCTCAGTAATTATATATATCTTCTTCTGTCCAAATTCATTTATGTGGACTATATTACATTATTTTGTTTAGCTTTGTTTGGTTCTATCCTATTTTGGCCTATATTGTTCTAAATTTGCATCAAACACTACCATATTGTTCGACAAGGTTTGTCTTTTCTTCTTTGATTGGTTCTTTCTACTATTACTGATGCTACCTTGTAGGAATCCTATAAGTTAGTTGAAGTGTATTGTTCTCATTTGACCAATAAGTAACAAGTTTAGTTCTTTTCAGTTGAAAAGGCTAAAAAGTGGGATGCCATTTGTCAGATTGATAACTCACTATGGAGCGGTAACTTAATTTTATAAGCATGAAAAGATTGTAAATATTTTAAAATTGTGGTTTTGGCTATTGGCAATTGAAACCACTATTCTTCACAAGTGTTCACACCGGCATATAAAGCATTAGAAGACTTCTGTTACATTATTCTAAAATTTTGGGCGCTCATGGAGGTTTCTATTGTCAAATGAGTGTCTTAAGCTAATTGCTGATGTTTGCTTTTGCTATTTCTTTCTTCTCTTTCTTAACAAAAACATATTTTTTATGTAAGAGAGACGGTGCAACATCAAGGCAATATTAAACGTAGTTACCATGGGTGTATCCTTTTTGCTAAGGAGGAAAGAACATTAATTAAAACTGAAAAACAAAAGGCAAACAAGCATATGCAACAAGAAAGCATTTTATAATTGGTACCATAATCTTTATTATTCATTCCCGTAGTGATTCTGTGGTCTTCCTTTGTGCTTTCCTTGTCTACGTAAGGAAGGAGACATTATTGATGGACTTATTAATGATGTATGTTTTGATTAGAAAATCGGTCTCTTGGTGGAGTGTATACGAGACTGTAATCGAGCGATTCGTATTTCTCTTTGTTATGCAAAGGTGAGCATGCTTTCCAGAATATTATTATGTCAGTGGAGTATACAAACAATCATTGTTTAAAATTAATACTTCATGGTTGTTAGCGAGTAGACTTTTATTTACTTCGATATTCTTGTTCTTCGCATGGTTCCAGTAGAGACATTGCTACAGGTTTTGGTCTACCACGTGAGTAATTACCATCTTTAATTTTTAAGCAGATAGTTTGCTATCTCCAAAATGTGCTAATCTTTGTTATAGGCATGGTACCGAAGAGGCAAAACTAATATCTCTTTAGGAAATCTTGAAGATGCAATTTATGATTTCACCATTGCTAAAGATATGGAGTCATCCTTGAGTGGAAAGAGACAAATACAAAGTGAAATGAAGATACTTTTGGGACATCATAAGACAACAATTACTACTCCAATTCAACACAATGTTAACAACTTGGCAAATTTGGGTAAGGAAGTAATAATTATTGAGTTTTCCTGCCTATCTTTGGTATATATTTTCATTTTCTTTTCCTTGTACCATCATATTGTATCCTCAAGTGATTTGCATTCAAGCACAATCTTTTTACAGCTCTCTGTGCAATCTTAACATGCTTTAAGTTCCTGGTTTGATTGATGAGAACTCTAGGTCAAATTATTGGAATTGATGCCTTATACAGGTCTCTTCTATGAACTTTTTACGTGATTTCCTGTTCGAAAACTTGCAACAATTCCCAAGTCGTCCCTCCTCCTTCAAACATAACGTCAAAATTCTATGATTTATGGGTTATAGTTTCCAGGAGAAGTTAAAGTGTTAACTCTTTTGACATGGATGCACATGTCAATGCATGTTCACGAATGATTTAAACCTACTTGCTTGGAATGCCAATTGTCAGATTATTGACCCATTA